TACCGGCTGAAACCCACCACTGGTTCTAGTCCTACCTTAGGGCGTACCGGCTGAAACCCACCACTGGTTCTAGTCCTACCTTAGGCATGAAGTCAACTGGGTGATCTTGTGCCAGTCAGTTTCTCTCAGCCTTAGGAAGCAGGTAAACCACTGAAAAACCTTGCCAAGAAAAGTGCAGAAAACTGTATCCTTACCCTTCATGAATTGTCACGGAATTTCAACACTTATCTACCTTGGTTTCACTGGGCTGCCCAGTGAATTTATGAGGGGATAAATTGTGATTGCTTCGTTCTGACCATTAATAATTTTAGGAGTCTCTATCATATACTCCATCTTACTGAATTTTTCTTCTTCTTCACCGTTTTGACTTCACTGGTAATGCGTATTCTGGTCACTTGATCCTTCTAGTTGTCCTTTTCTAAGCTTCTCAAGCCTTAATATCCTTCAAAGAAATGTGCTGACTCAGAGATGTTTATTGCTCTTATTACTGTGCAATCAATTGTTTTGATGTAAGGGTGGTTTTAGTTATGCGCTAAAAGATCATTGTAGCAGGTGGGGAGGAAATGAATCTAGTTCAGGGGTGTCAAACTCGATTTCATTGAGGACCGCATCAGGGTTGTGTTTAACCTCAGGAAGGGGGGGGCATGGCCAGCTTGAGGTCACTCCTGTTGGGGACACCGGTAGTGGCCCGAGCGCTCTGCCAGAGAAAACAGGCTCCCAAGCTCCGTTTATGGCTGCGATGGCCTGTAACGCTCTGCCAATGAAAACGGAGTTCCGGAGGGTTGTCCGTGGCCCACGCGAGTGCCATTTTCGCTGGCAGAGGCACCGCGGGCCGGTTCTTCACTGTTTCGAGGGTGCTACCGTGGGCTGGATCTAAGCACCCCGCGGACCGGATCAGGCCCCTGGGCCTTGAGTTTGACACCCCTGCTCTATAGATTACAACCACGAATATCCATCGTGCCAAGTAGCTAATAGTGATCAATCAACTGTTGGGCTAATTTCTACTTTTTCTTGTTCTAGGCAGCCGCCAACTTGCCATCATCCTTGTCGAGAGAAACACAGTTGCCATTTTGGCCCTTGCCCTCCTTGCCACCAGATCTGCAAGAAAGTTTTTGAAAAGTGCGGCCACTTGTGCCCTGCTTCTTGCCACGACGAAGCCCTTGTGAAGCAAACTGGCTTGGTGAGACAGAAGCTCGTAACATACTAAAAGTTTATTCTACTCTTCTTAGAAAAGAGTTTAAAAGCAAATTTTAAAATGTTTGTTGTTCTCTTGATCCTTATTGTGTCAGGGTTCTAAAAAACACCCCGAACGAAATAAATCTCCGAGGCTTGTGTTTCCTCAAAGTTCTAATTTATTAGAGATGTCATGTTGGCACATCGGGGAAAACCTGAATTTAAAAGCTTCCCGGTTTTCCCACCCAGTTCAAGATCCTGTCCCAACACCCACAAGTCCATCGCGTGGTCCAATCTTTCACTGCCATGAGGACAGATTCCTCCCATCCTCATCCGGCCAGGTGCAGAGACAAAAATGACCTTGACTTTCTAAGAAGAATGTTGTTATAGCTACACATCACCCAACTCCGTATAATCTCCCATTTTCCCACAGTAGAAAGTGTTGCAGGCCTGAAGCCCAAAAAGAAAAGATGGCTTGCAGGTCTGACAGGCAGCCTCCCCTCAGAAGAAATAGCTAAATTTAGAAGAAGAAAACAAAAAAAAAAAGGGTTTGGGCCTCCACGGGCCGCATTTTCAGCCCTTCCTGGGGCCTTTTTGGGGGGCTTTTCCAGCCTTTTTCCTACCCATTTTTGAGGGTTTTATGGCCCTTTTTTGAGGCAATTTGTCCTGTTTTGGGGGCTTTTTTGGCCTGTTTTTGTGGGGGGTTTGGCCCATTTTTGAGGTGCTTTTCAGCCTGTTTATGAGGCATTTTGGTCCATTTTTGAGGCTTTTTTTCAGCTGGCTTTTTTCAGCCCATTTTTAGGCTTTTTTCAGCTGGCTTTTTAAAAAAAAAAGTGCCGAAAAAGCCTCAAAAACAGGCCAAAAAAAGCCCTGAAAAAGGCAGAAAAAAGGCCTGGAAACGGGGCATGCAGAGGCCAAAAATGGCCAGTGGGTGGGCGGGGCTTCAGCAACATTCAGTCTGTATAAGATGCACAGATATTTTCACCCCTTTTTGGGAGACCTTAAATCATTTTACCTTTACCGTAATCATCTATTTGTCAGGCCTGCAGTTATATCCCTTTTAGGATCTTTGGCCTGCCACACTCTCTCTTATTTCATTGTGCTGTTTCAATAGCGTAGTAGGTGGGAGGGGGGAATAGAAAGGAGTAGAATTGTGGAATGTGTTGTTGTCATTCTTTTCTAGAAGCCCAAGGTCGTCTTTTGTATCTGCACCTCTGCACCTGACCGGAACCAGTGGAGATGCCAGCGTGGAAGAAGATTGGACCATGTGATGGATTTGTGGGTGTGGGGACAAGATCATGAACTTTCANATTGGCACTATTATCTTTTGCCCTTTTTAGTATTTCAACTCTTACTAACTTTTTGACAAATCTCCCATGTGATTCCCTTGGGATAACTCCTTACATCACTCATATTTAATCTAAGTATTTTGTCTGCCTCTATATCTACCTCTCACTGTCGAATCTCCAGGAAACCCATCGATGACTCTTTTATCACTTCACTACAATCTTTTCCACCTCAGATTGTTTGATGCCAATCCTTGCTAGACCATCTCGCATGATGCAATCATTTGTTTGGGATAAAAACCACTCATCGCTCTTTAGTGCCTCTTCAGCTCCTCACACATTTAATGGGAAGCTCAGGATCCAACTTTTTCTGAACCCTAGTAACCACAGAAGCAGCCAGCTGCTTAGAAGGGATAACTGGTTGGATCACTTTAGGCCTAATACTGTTGTATTGAGGCAATATGGACAAAGCATCAGCTATAAAGTTCTCTTCCCCTCCCCTATGAATGTAGTACAGGGCTAAAATTAAGCTGGTTAAAATAACTTGCTTAGGTGACAATTTCCAAGGGGTTTTCAGGACCTCCAGATTTTTGTGACCAGTCCACACCTTGAAAGGCTGCTTTGCCCCTTCCAGGAAATATCTCTAAGTTAATAGTGCCAATTGCACAGCAAAAGCTTCCTTCTCCCACATTGCCCATCTTCTTTTGGTCTCAGTTAATTTTCTGGAAGTGTAAGTGCAGGGTTGTAAGGCCCCCTTGGCATTTGCTTGCAACTGTCACAGTCCCATCACTAACATCCCAGTTGCTCCCATGGATTGATATTGGGTGCTCAATCCCAAGGTCTCTAGGTTGGTTCACAAAACAGATCATGCCTAATGTCAGGCCTGCCTTCGTTCAAAAGGAAGAAATTTGAAATTTGAAATGAAGCAGTGAAAGCAAGGCAAGATCTGAGTCAAAAACGTTCGAAAGTTACACATTGAAAGTCATCCCAAATCCCTCTCCCCAGGATCCAGCACTGAGAGTCCAATCAATGTCCCCAGTATAATGTTATGGGAAAACTCCTCTGCAAATATTTCTTGCATCTGGAGTCTCAGGATCGTTGGCTTTGATGGAGTATAAAGAACTCGACTCAGCAGTGTCATCATTCATGAGTGCAAACCTCCCTTCCAGTTCTCATGGGACTACTACCTATCAGCTCATTTCTCCATCCCAAATGTCAATGCCCCCCACTCCCTGTTGGCAGCCAAGAACAAATATGTGGCAGATACTCATGCTGGAGATCCCGCTGACAGCTGTCCCCTTCCCTTGATCTCTGAACTACTTGAGATAATACATAAAGCCAATATTCACAAAACTGGACTTGAGGGGCAAGTACAACCTGGCACACATAATAAAGGAGATGAGTGGAACACTGCTTTTTAGATATAGTATGGTGACTTTCAATATATGGTCACCAATTCACCTGGGGTGTCCATGCACTTCATGCACTATGTGTTCCAGGAACTTTTAGATCAATATGTGGTTATCTACCTGAATGATATATTGGTTTCTTTTTTTTCCCCTCTAGAGTATCATTGGGAAAATGGTGCAAGATGTTGCAATGTCTTTGGAAACATCAATTGTTTACAAAGCACCAGAAATGTCAGTTTATGAAAATACCATTGATTATTGGGACAATAACATTACGATGGACCTGAAAAAATCAAGGGTCTGCATATATGGCAACCATCACCACTATGCCAAATATGTTCAATGGCTCCTGTTCACTGTTATTGGGTTTTCATTCCAATTGCTTGCAGTCACTGTTCCTTATCTAATCTCCTGAGGAAAGGGATGAAATGACGTTTCCTCCCTAACTCACCTCTCTGTGTGTGTGTGGGGGAGAGTCGGGAATTGTGGTGGTGGGTAGATTGAGGCAGGACACTGCAGGTGATAAAAAGACTGCACGTTTTAAATGATGCCCCAAACTAGTAGATTGTATGAAAGAAAGTGCAAAACATTTTTTTTTTGCCCACTGCATGACCAATGTGCTGGGTACATATCTTTTAGGTGATGGCAAGCAGTTGTAGTGCAGGTGGCATGGCAGCAGGGAAAGGTTTCTATCCAGTGTGTGAGTCAAACTCTACTGGAAGCCCTGTTGTATCTCTGGAATGATTTCTGTGCACACCATCTTCTTCCTGAGTGTGTGACTTTTCTTGATGCCTTATTGGCTAGATGTTTTGTCATCATCGAGGAGCCTCCATGGTATACCCCAAAAGCATACTATATGTGCCAAGCAGTGTCCACTATTGCCTGAATGCCATAATATCCATTGTAATACCTGCTCCGGCTTGGATCCTTAAGCAAAAAATATCCTTGACTCCATTTGAGTGAAATATATACTTTTACTAAAAGGTATACTTTTACCATGTGTTTACAGTAGAGCACAGTCAGAACTGAAATTTATGCATGAAGATTCTCTAATTAGCTTTCCCTTTTTCCCTTTTCTCCCCCTTGTTATCTTTCAATTGTCAAGTTGCATTCAAAGAGTTTGTTTTTGGCAACAGTCCCTGCTCTGATGGGCTAAGTGGTGAGCTGTTGAATTTTCTCTTCCAGGTCTCTGGCAATGAGTGATGAGATGATGTCTAAGGATGGCACAATGGGTAGTTTTGGTTCCCCATCCATTATTGTAGCAACTCCCTCCCCCCATAGTTCGTGGTAGGCTGGCAACTAGCAAAGCGATGCTGAAGCTGAAACTGAAGATAGCATTCTAGAATTCTGCCTCTATGAAAAAAGGGCTAAACCTAGGAAAAGAAAAGAGATAAAAAGAAAAGATTAGAGTTTTAGTGTGGCTTATCAAGGTATCAGTTATGGAATTTGTGAAGGAGGCATGGGGACCCAAATGTTGTGTGTCAACCCACTTGGTTTCATGGAACTCTTTCCAGAGGATTAGGTATTGAAGTTTGCCTCAGTGGGTATGTGAGTCAATGATTTTCTTGACCTTGAAATGCCATTCTCCTTCAATAAGGATGGGAGGTAGGAGCAGCTTCATTGTGAGGAGGCAGCAGGTTTTAACAGATTGCAGTGGAAAATGGAATGGACATGTTTAACTGGTTTTAGTAGCTTTAACTCCACCATCATTGGATTGATGACTCTAATGATGGGGAAAGGGTCAATGTATTTTGGTTCCAGCTTCTTTAAGGGTTGCCTGGATTGTATGAATAGTGGAAAGGAGTACTTCAGTTCCAACTTTTAACTCCCTCTGCTATGTTCTCCTTTTGTCAGTGTATTTTTTGTGGGTGTCTCTCACTTCTCCAAACATCTTCAGACAACTAGCCCATGTGAGTTGCAGGGACGTCACCCATTCCACTAGTGACGTACTTTGGGGTTTCTTGGGGTAGCTCCCACATGGCAACAAAATCTTGGTAGCCACTTGGAACAGCGTGAAGGCTGTGAATAGGATTGCTGTAGGCCACTTCTGCAAAGGGGAAGAGGTCTGACCAATTGTCCTGTTGATAATTCACTTAGCAGCAGAGATACTGCTCTGATATGCCATTCATTGACCATTGATCTGGGTGTGGTGAGAAAAATTGAGCCCTTGAGAGATTCCAAGTTTTAGGAATTCCTGCCAAAATTGGGAAATGACTTGAGCCAATAGATATGTTGCAGAAAAGGTTTAGCTAGGATGTGTGCTAGGAGGGGATCTTTGGGCAACCCACAAAATGAACTTGTTTAGAAAAAAGATTCATAATAACCGATATTACTGTGTTCTCTGAGTTGTCAGGTAACTCTACAATAAAGCCCATGGAAATTTTCTTCCAAGGAGCCATGGGATTAGCTTGTAGGTTGTAGTAGGCCTGGAGGTTTTCTGCCATGGCCCTTCATGGAGGCACGCACAGAGTAATGGGTGACATAGCTTTCTATGTCCA